TCCATAAAATGCTGGGAAGTTCTTGAATAACTGTACAATTGGCGTCTTCTGAAGAAGGCATCAGGTTCATGAAGTTAGTTAGTATTTAATGAATATACTTTTATGAAACCTACCATGTGCTCGGAAACAGTTGGTTTGCGTCTCAGTGGCAGAATTTCAAAATTAGAAGACATGGCTGCAGTTCAAGTATAGTTCTAGTGTATTGTGGTCCTACCAGATATCGAACCTCATTCATCAGTCTAGTTCTTATACCGCGTGAGTTTTCCGTCAGAGGTGAACATACTGAGATACGCGGTACGCTCCTCCGTTTTGTGTTCATTTTATGCACTCCGCGCAGTGAACATGTTTTCTGTAGCATAATATTTTCAGACCTCGGCGGTTCTGTCACACCGGCCGCCGTCTTCTCGGTCACGTGACTGCGAGTAAGTAATGACTGTTGTCTGTACGGGTAAAGCAAAGCAGTGCCTCAGTGTTGTACTGTTAACACGGTGATGTTGCCAACAGGTGTTCCTTGTTGCTTGATGTTTCAGTAGTTAGCAGTAGGGACAACTAACCCCTTAGAGCTAAATAGTTATTATATTGTCACGTGTATGAGCCTGACTGTAGACAGTGTTTGGAAGGGTAATTGAATTTATTGACTATTTTAACACAGGACTCGTGACTACACTTAACAGTTCACTACGGCACACACTAAGTCTTCCAGCCTGCAGTGCTTTCACCAGTCGTTGCCTTGTAACGGCTTCTAACGGTGGAAGTGCACACTTCTGACAGCAACAGATCACAACGACTGAATCTCAGTTCTCTGACTAACTCACCAAACAACTTTTCACTTTCCTGCACAGCACCAAGCGTCCTGCTTAAATCATCTAGGCACGCACCGCACAAAAAACACAGCTCCTCTGTTACTATATCCATTGTTGCTTTCACGTGCGTTTCCTGTGAGGTACGAACTGACTTGATATATAATTTAGACTAAAGTCGGTCTTTTAGTGAAGTTAAGAACCCATGTCGAGATGGAGTCAGATGCCTCCACCATGACCCTGCGAGTCGTAGAAAGCGACGAAAAGGGAAGTTTCAAATCTGAGACGTCTGTCTATACAGATACCTACTCTGGGCGGAAAGGAGAAACGGGTAACTTAAAATTCTCTGTTACTGGATGAGCAACAAACCTCACATAACATCCGATCCCCCCCCCACACACACACACACACACACACACACACACACACACACCACCATAATTGATATATAAATTTGCCAGTGCTCAGATAATCACACGCATAAATTTATGTATATGCGTATGGGCATGTATTCTTTTGACAGAAGTTGTACACAACTATCTGATGCTTGTCCAAATTATGCAGATACACGTAAAGAGAAAGATCTGTAAAAACAAACATGTAATTTTTTTTTAAATACAGGAACAGCCAGATGGGGACTCCTGGCTAGAAGTCAGTCCGGTGACCGCCAACTTGATCAAGCTTTTCCGTGGTTTTCCTCGGTCATAGAGCAAATGCTGAGTTGGCACCCAAATTCCACGTTGCACTGCACGCTTCGAATGCAATCCTCCGATTGGTAACGTCAAAATTTCACCCTAATGTAACCCTCCCAATGTTAAATCAAATTTTACTATAAAGCAGTCCTTCCAACGTCATAAAAAATATAATTCCTATCAAATGCATTACCTCTGCTAGAAGGGCAGTCGGGCACTGCCTGGGTATCTTCAAAACCGAAGGTATAGATTCTTGCCCCCCCCCCCCATGTAGTCTCACTCGAGAGATAAAACTGTTTTGGTAAACGGAAACAACGGGCAAGAGAATTTCGCGAAGGCCAAAGTGATGTCGCTTGTGAATGGTGCACAAATAAACCCGAGAAGTGCCAACACAACCCTTACAGTGCGTGGCCGCCATTTTAGGTTATCATAGCTGCAAGTCTTTCATGGACATGTTCTGTTTAAGAAGTCCACAAGCTCACAAGCTTCACTGTATTAGTTCAGGTAAAACGTCAACAGATGTCGCATTCAGTCGTATGTAGAAACTGCAAAGATCGAAATTTCCGACTCAAGGCACTTGTTAAAGCGTAATAAAACGTAGTAACGTTTTTTTCAGAACCCACAGCCTTCTTTCTGTTTATCTAATAACGCTTTTTCAGCTGCATCGATTATATAGCGCCGAATGACAGGATGGTTGTGAATTGTGCTAATTTGAAAGGAAGCGGTATGCTTTAAGGTGTTACCCTAGCATTTTCAGGGAGGAACGGAGGAAGCCCATGGAGACGTTCGACATAGTCCGTCTCCTGGCTGCGGATCTAAGCCGTTATGTCATGAAATCGAAGCGTGAATGTTGAACCCTGCACTTTTTGTATCGCGAAGGTAGTGGGTTTGTTGACTGTCCCCCCCCCCCCTTTACCCTACACCCCCAGGGGGCCGAGCACCACCCCCATGNGCCTACCTCCATGAACTTCTCCGTTCACTTCGGTTTTTCTAGATCTTACACACACGGTAGGACTCCTTGGGCGGGTGATCAGCACGTCGCAAGGCTTCTACCTGTACACAAACACAGAAAAATGCACACACACAAACTAAACGTCCATGCCCTGAGTGGGATTCGAACCCACGATCGCGGTTTCCAAGCGAGCGAAGACAGTACATGCCTTAGACCGCTCGGCTACCGTGACCGGCTTGTTCAGTCGTTACTGTCCATAATTCTGTTCCCAGGATTCTCTGTGCGACGACTATCGCTACTCCACACATCGTAACTTTTTTTTTAGTTGTTGGTCTACCAAGACGTGAAGAATTCAAACAGTAAGTTTCTCGTTTTGTTTGCCAGCAGTTGTACTCCCACTTCACGTCAGTCAGCCATGTTGCATGCAAATATGATCTAAAAGTCTGTGACGATGGTATTATGTTTCTGGGCATTATCCATCGTCCTGTTTATTTTTCTCCGGAGATAGGGTCTAGCTCTATCTCTTGGACCCAACTGAGGTTTTGCCAGGAGACGGAAACAGAATCCAGTCATTTTTCTCCGGAGATAGCTCTGTCTATTGGGCCCAACTGAATAGGTTTTACCAGAAGACGGAAACAGAATCCAGTCATTTTTCTCCGGAGATAGGGTCTAGCTCTATGTATTGGGCCCAACTGAGTAGGTTTTACCAGAAGACGGAGACAGAATCCAGTCATTTTTCTCCTGAGATAGGGTCTAGCTCTATCTATGGGACCCAACTGAGTAGGTTTTACCAGAAGACGGAGACAGAATCCAGGCTCCGAAACGTTATGTCTTGAAATATAAATAGGACGATTTTTAGATAGAGACAAGACGATGGATAATGTCCAAAACAAAATATTTGTACCACGTTCCCTACGTTGGAAATAAATCTCATTAAAAACGACAGGCGAGAGAATGCGTTTTGACTGGAAGAACACCATCTCTTGTATATGACGCAGTGCAATCTAACGGAATTTTACCGATATTTCGGAGGAATGTGCTGCTTCTATCTTCAAAGCCGAAGAATAAACCAAGCAAGCAGTAAGAGTACTGTCCCGTCCTTAAGATGGATGTAGTACATCTAACCGAAATTGGATACATTTCTGCCAGTCTGTACAGTGCGACATACCGTAAGATAATACTCATCATAACGACTTAAGTCGGCGGTAGCATCAGTACATAGTAGAGCTCTCATGGAAGAGGAAGCAAAAATGTATTCTTGGAAGGAACAAAAGTATGGTCATGGGTCCCGACAGGGCCCGAAACCAAGAATGACAGCGCTGGCGAGTGACAGCAACAAATATGTCGATGTACTTATTGTTAGTATGGTCTGGTATATTTGAAGATTGTTGAATCAGTAAGGTTCCCTAAAAAAAGAAGGTAAAGCTATCGCTGTAACAGGCCGTGAAGGCCCATGGGGTTGTGAGACGTTGATGGTCCCACATTATCTAGACAGTCGGCTGTCTGTGTGCCGATTATCTAGAAGCCTATGAGCTTCCACTGCCTGTCACAGGGATAGCTTTACCTTTACCTTACCTTACCATCACGGATGCAACCGCTGTCAAGTTAACAGTACGTGGGGGTTATTATTAGAACCGTCTGAGATGTAGCTTAACGTCACAATCAACATCAAGGTTTGGACGTTTCTATCCTCTCCGTGCCCCTGTAAAATAGGTTGATGCTTCCAGCGTAACTTGAGGCTTCCAGTTGGTGTTGTTCCCCTCTGTGCGTCGTCCAGTAACTGTTCTGGAATGCGTTCGGGCTCCATTCCTTTAACATGATGAATCCATTTAAATTCATTTTTATTATTTCTGCTATTTAATTTGAATATATTTCGTTCCTTTATAATTAGCGTGTTTCTAGCTTGATCCTTTTGATGTGTATCCTGCCTCATTCCTAAGATATTTCATTTCTGCTGTTTGTATTTTTCCTCCTCAGTGTTTTTTTCAGGATAAAATTCTGCACATAATTTGGATCGGTGTGTAGAAGAGGCGTTTCAGTTTATGGAAATAAGAGAGAAATGAAGCCCGCATTTGGAAATGAGGATTGATACAGAATTTTTATACAAAGCCTTCAAAGGAAGAAATCTATTGGAAGACCTGTGCGTAGATGGAAGGAAATATTAAACTAGATTTGGAAGGAATATGGCTTGGGCTGGGTTCGGGGTGGCTTAGAATAGAACATAGTAATAAGTTTTTTATAAACACACTATAAAGCACTTTGGAATTTTTTAAGGAGGGCTAATATCTTGACCAGCTGAGCAACCATCTAGTTATTTAGTTAGTATGAAATTGCAGAAGAATAATCTTTAACGACATTATCTGACAGTAATGAACATAAATAAATAAGTCCAGCGTTTGTGGACCAGTTAACCCGTCGGTAGTATGCAGAGAGTTAAGTTTATTCTGTCCTTTAGAGGCGTTGTTTACGAAACTGCGGTAGCATTTCTAGTAATCACCTTCCTGACACGCGTTATGTAGGTGTGACTGATAATTACTCCTTTTTGTTATTTTACAGTTCAACTTCGTGGGCCGTATTCTTGGCCCTCGGGGCATGACAGCGAAGCAACTAGAACAAGAAACCGGCTGCAAAATCATGGTACGGGGGCGGGGCTCCATGAGGGACAAGAAAAAGGTGAGTTCACAACATTGTGTCCCGCGGACACACGCGCCAGGCCATTTGTTAATTAAGTACCTTCTAAGTTATCTGGACATCAAATCGTTATCCTTTCTACAGGGTGTTTTTATTTTAGTGTACCAGTATATTTACATTGAATTAGATTTGTTAAGGTCGCGAAACGTTGGTGGGTGATTGTATTTCTTAAACGACGCTGAGATATATGAAATGTCGTATTTCTGTATGTTGTTAGTTTATTTTGCTTAAGTGAGTTAACATGTTTGGAACGTACTTTGTTACTGATGTAGCAGTTAGTTGATAATGAGGCGTTGCCATTTATTTTCTGAAGCGATACTGCTATTGTGATGGAATTCTACAAAGTCTTTGTTTTAAATTTTATGGTGATCGTGAATATTACTAAGATAGTCTGACGTAACGGAATATACCATGGCTGCTGATCTACGGGTGATTCCACTTCTAGTGCACATTTAATTTGTTACCAAGGTCGAAAAAAATTACAGCGATCCCAGGAAGTTTCTGAAGCAACGCTCAGTTACCATGAAATGCTATGTCCATATACAGGGTTATTTCGCTGTCATATCTATGTTAGTAAGTTACTAGCATTAAGGCATCTCTCATGGAAGTATCTGGAAATGAAGTGGTTTTACGGATCTTCAAAAGTGAATTAGTTCAACAATTTAGCCTGATAGTGTTGTCGAGGTTACGAATAATGGTAACATGCGCGAACATATAGGAACTGAGCATGAAATATGTGATAAAAGAGCAATTACGTGTGAAGATACAGGATGATGCATCTAAGTGTATGTGTAATTTGGTTCCGTTGATACCGAGGTCGTGAAGACTTCTTATTTACATATCGAGAAATAACTTCTGCAGTGATCAGTGTGAAGATAATGACTTGTGCTTTTCTGTAGCATTCATTTTAATGTAGCTCTACAGGGTGATTCAGTTTGATAAGCGGACTATGAAGCCAGACAAGCTGCGAATGTTTACGCTCTACAAGCAACTATGCGATAAGTGAAACATTAGCTAATCTTACTTGGGGCTGAATTAGCATTGAAAACGCGGTTTAAGAATGGTTTATTAATGAACGTTAGCGCATGGAGGTTTTTTGAGGGACAAATTTTTCTACTACAGTCTGTCATTTTATGATTATGTTACTGTAACTGTTATTTTGGCGGTTAACGTGCGTAGTGTCTGCATAAACACTTTGATTCGATGAGGACACGCGGTTGTGGAAATGCTGTTTTGAAACAAACTTTGCGCTTCGTGGGCCGGAATAAACGCAGTCTATTCTTTCTCGCTACTCAGCCATGACGAGTGAAAGGCAGAATTATATTTTCGCCTTTATTAGCAATGTCTGAACGTCTGCTGTATATACAGCTTCTGTCTGTCTGTCCTTATGCAATGACCCCACTTAGGATGAATTGTTGATGAAATCTAATATTACGAGATCAAAAATGCATGTACCCAGTATAATTTTGATCCAAACAACATGGACTACCACTTTACATGAAATAAGTTTTCTTTTCACTAACAGCAGGGAACTACTAACCAGATAACTTGGAGCTATCTCTCTGGGGGCTGCGGCGAGAGTAGTGGTGGCTGATAAGACCCTGGGCGCATGCGCCTCTGTGTTTTTACTGTCGGAAATAAAAACATTTGCAGCGATTCGTACAACAGTTCTGTAGTGAGTAAAGAAACAATGGATCAGTGTTTTCTGTTAGGTCGATACCTGTCGTACTGTACCGAACTGCTCTGTACAGCAAGGGGGCAGAATTGCAGAGTTAGAAAAAACGATGCAGACAACTAGAGCTTCATATCTGTATATCCGCAAGTTTCATCTTCGAGATCTGTTATCGAATGTTATTTGAATTTTATGTTACAGGTTTATAATGAAACTTGTGGCGTGTTTAACGACGCTGACAATGTCTCAGGGCGTAAAGCGCCGAATTATAAGATGGTTTAAAATGAATAATGAATTGTGAGGTTCTGAGGAGAGAATTTGGACTTAAGAGGAGTGAAATAGTAGGATTCTGGAGAATCCTGTTACTCCTCGCCAAATGTCATTAGGATGAAGAAGTGTAGGCGGGCAAATGCGTAGGGCATGCTTTATGCATGGGAGATTGGTGCAATTTGGTGGCAAAACCTAGAGGACAGAGACCACAAGGAGTACCTAGACGTAGATGGGAGGATAATGTTAAAAATGTGTATAAAAATTAGGATGTGAGAGTATATACTGGATTAATTTGGCTCAGGTACAGCACTTCCCAGCCCCATCGATCGAACAAATCAGCCACAGCTTGCGCTGTGCATTGCGGCCGAGCATTGTCCTGCAAAATGATGGGTGGGTTCTGCAGAAAGTGTCGCCGCTTCTTTCTCAAAGCTGGTCGCAGGTTTTGTTCCAAAAATGAACAGTAATACTGCGCATAGACGGTCTGCTGTCGGGGAACGGTATGCGTTAGGATAACACCGTTACAGTCGTACACGAGAATCACCGCAACTTTCACATTGCTGGGGTTCTGACGAACTTCATTAGTAAGAGAATTCGATGATTGAGTCGTACGTGAATTCGGAAGTTGAGTGATCAGCTGTGGGGTGCTAACCAGCGGACAGCGGAAGCTGAAGAAGTGACCGACTCGTAAATGAGAACCAAGTCAGTCACAACGGAAGACACTCGTCAGGAACGGAGCGAGTCTTAGACTGTCATTGTCATTATACTCATAATTGGCTGTAATTGTAAAGAAGTGTCAACAAATCCAGTCGTCCAGCCCAGAACTCATTATTAGTCACGGAACACCCTTTCCGGATAACACTACAATTACGATATGTTTCGGCCACTGTTTTTGGCCGAAACATGTCGCAATTGTAGAAACTGTACAGTTATGTACAGGATGATTCTAAATTATTATTCGGTGTTTCCGTGGCCTCTAGCTTCATAACTTGTACTCTTCTCCAAGTATAATTAGAATGATCAAGTCTAGGAAGATGAGGCGGGCAGGGCATCTAGCACGAATAGGGAGAAAAGGAATGCATATAGGATATTGGTAGGAAAGCCAGAAGGAAAGAGACCACTAGGGAGACCAAGGCGTAGGTGGGTGGACAGTATTAAAATGGATCTTAGATACTGGAAGGTATGGATTGGATTGATCTGGCTCAGGATAGGGACCAGTGGAGGGCTCTTGTGAACATTGTAATGAACCTTCGGGTTCCATAAAATGTTGAGAAATTCTTGAGTAGCTGCAGAATTGGCTTCTCAAGAAAGACTCAGCTCCATGCGCATGTTTCCGTGGCCTCTATTTTTCAAAACTTACATGCCACGAAAGGCGCGCATGTTGAAGTTGTTTAGTATTCTGCAGCATTGATTCTGTAGGTTATAAAACTTGTTTAGTTACACTTTCATGTTCAATAAGCAGTTTTTTTTTCGGCATGAAAATTATAGGTCACTGGAACCCCGACATTAATTTAGAATCGCCCTGTATTGTGAAATTGTGTATTGAAACTGAATGAAATACTGTTATGAATCTTCAGTGAGGATTCCTTGAGTTGCTTCAGACTTCTGGTTCCTCAAGAAGGACTCATTTCCATGTAGTTTGATGATGATGATGATGATGATGATGATGAACTGGTTACCGATGGATGTTTATTTGTACTCGCCTGACCCACGCCTATTATTTGTGGCCTGTGGTCTCCCATAATAAACTTCCAAGGTTCGCACTACCCGTTCACTTTCATAATTCATATCAAGGCCTTGTGCTCGATGAAGCAGACGAACAGTTAGTTCTCCCTCGCTTCAGTACACAAAAGGTTTTCATGTCGGGTAGGAGGTCATAAACCAGGATTCTGAGATTATCCAATTAAGACGGCTTATCCTTGCATTAGCGATGAGAGAACACCGCGGTATGAACGCTGCGCTGTGTGTCTTGCTGGAGGACCGGATGCGGCGAAGTGGTAACCTCAAGGAGAGAGCGCCAAGTGGGGGCAGGAGGGATGCTTCTACAGCATGTCTCAAAATACACACACTCATGCACAATATAAACACACTTTCCAGGTACTGCTTCACCCTTCTTCTTTTGAGCAGCGACTCCACAGTGATTGGTCTTTCTTGTCAGTTTATACGTATTCTGAGCTCATGAAATTCCTTAGTTGTGGAACGGAAGGTTCGTTGTCATGTCAACAGATCATCCACAATCGAATCAGTTCCACTACCTGTTGAGTGATCAATTTTTATGTTACACACACACAGACACATATATATATATATATATATATATATATATCATTTCTTCCGTTCGTGCTGTGTGCCCCACCCATCTGATCCTTGATTTAATTACAGCACCAATATTAGTTTAAAAAATACGAATTACGAAGTTCTTCGTTATATAAATAGTGTGACGTGTGTACCTATTGCTAGGCAACGAGGATGTAAACACGTTCTGTTACAATTGAAGACGGTGTTTTCCTTGGGGTTCGCCCCGAGGCCATATAACGAGGATCTCACGCAGCTAGAATTAGAATTAGGCAGCAATTTGAAGATGGTTGAGAAGAAATGGCAAGAAAGGAATTAGACTTTGACAAGAGGCCGTCACGTGTGATTTGAAATGGCAGTGAGACTTATGAAATCCGTTGCCTGGATACGACCAGTGAAGACTGATAATCCTAGTGCGTGTCGGACGGTGAACTGGATAGTGTGTAGAATAGCAAGAGCGCTGTAATTGCCTGTAGTCCCGAACTATGTGAGTGTATAAGGTGCAATAGATCTAATCTAAAACCCGTCTATAAATCACTCATACACGTGACAGTAGTTTTAAAATTCTTAAGTTGTGTGTGTGTGTTGAGTATGTAAGGTATTAAGTTTATAGTACAAAATCGTGCTATAAATGTTACCTTTTCCGTTACCGTGGTTTCGTAAGCCTGCCATTTGGCCCTGTTCTGTGTCAGTTTAAGGGGATGCCGGGCCGTAAGACTGGAGAATCAAACTCCGATACCCCAAAGTG